TATATATATACACATTGTTTTTTTGCATTTTGGCATTCACGCTGTACAAAATTCAGCCAAGTAGAAAGTGTTTTATCAGAGCCACATACCAAAGTGTTGTTATCATTGTTAAAATCCATCTTGCCAGCAAAGGGCCCCCACGTTGTTCCAACTGGAAGCTGCTGTCGGCTGTGAATCCGTCTCTCTCCATCCTTCTGGAACGCTTCCAGCTCTCCTACAGACACAGAAAAAGAGATGCTGAATACTCTTTCTTGACAACGGTCACATCTCTCTGTTTGTATTACAGGCCTGACACAATCTGAAATGACTTACAGTTGTCAAAATAAGTGACTGCAGACTTGCATGAAAATAAAATGAGGTGATTTATTTTTGTTACGTAGATGAAAACCTCATTTTCCAAGTAATTAGTTAGCCGTAATTACCTTATATAGATTTGATTGGGTCACAGTCAAGAGATACGCCAAATTATGATACGAAAAAGAAAAGCCTTGATGAAGGGTCTCTAAGATATTTATTTTATGTAGATGTGATCAGCATAATGTAAGTAATGTGTAAAGTGTTTTAATTAAAGAAACACTTAACTCATGAGTTAAAACATAAAAATGCATTCAAGTTCCTTAGCTATTAACAAAAACAATTACTTATTTCTGCATCACTCAGCTGGAAATCATCTCTAAATTGGTGCTGACACTGTCCTTCCTTCTGGAGGATGGCTACTTTTGTTCCCCACGGTCCCTGTGTGTGTTGTAAAGTAGCCACTGCTACATATTGGCTCCCATGATGGACTACAAGCTCACATTTATTTATTTGTATTGAGATTGTAGTCCATCAAGGGAGTGAGTTTGGAGTGGTGACTACTTTACAACACACAGGGACCATGGGGAACAAAAGTAGCCACCCTCCGGAAGGAAGGACCGTGTCAGCACCAATTCAGAGATGATTAGAGGATCTACAGCCGAGTGATACAAAGTGATTAACTATTAACAAAACATTTCTGTTAATAGTTAGGGTGCTTGAATGCATTTTTAAGGTTTAACTCCTGTGTTTAGTGTCACCTTAAGGAAGTAATCACAGGTCTGATACATGTGACTACATCTAGAGTCAGCCATATATTCAGAACTGTGATTGTGTTATACTTCTCTTCTCTCTAAGCAAGATTGTGGTGAGGATTTTTCCAATAGAGTTTCATTGAAAACAATATGCTTTGGTCTTCTTGTTGCGGCAAGGTTGCTGATTATACTGCCTGATGTAAATATACATACAGTATATATTTAGTAATTTACAACCACTCATTATCAATAAATTACAAATACTGCTTCTGTGAAGTATTCAGCTTATAAACAACTCATCAGTGAACAAAACATCTATTGCAGTCTGAACCCTGAGACCTAGTTATTACCCCATCTTGCTAATCGCACAACAAAGAGAAGGCAAAGCTGGTCCTGCATTGAACATCTAAAATTGCAACTATCTGCCAGAGCGCCGAAAAGAAGAGGCTTTGGGGGGCACCGGCCACACAATATGGTGGAAGCCTGCAAGAGTGAGGAATAAAGGAAGTATTTCAGCTTCCTCTACCACTATTACTTATTGAGCATTTAACCCTTGCGGTGTGAGGAGACCCCACTGGAAGGGAATTTGTTTGTGTGCAGTCCAGAGAGGGGCTTTAAAGCATATCTAAAGCCAAAACATTAATTTGTTCATTGTGAATAGAATAAAGAAGGGTTAAAACCCTGTGAGATTTATTTTTGCCATCTGTGCTGAGGAGAGTTTCCTTCACTTCCTGCTCTGTGTATCTACAGAGCAGGAAGTGAAGGAAACCTCAGTGGGCACAGATGGCAAAAAAAAAAAATTTAGGTAGTGAGAGAAAATCTCTGCAAATTAAAAAAAATGCCGTCTTCAACAGTTGTCACCAGAGCACTTGCCCCTATTGGAAGGGATCTCCATTATTCTGTTCTGATGACAACTAAGGAGTTTGGATTTTTGCTTCACTTTGAGTCCCAGTGACAATGAGAGTGAATTTTGCTGTCAGAGACACAGGCTGTAACAAACAAAAACCTGACAGGGGATATAATCCCCAGGTTTGTTTGTTTTGTTTGGGTTTAGCAGCCATTTGCTATATCATATTTATTATTTCAAAGTTAATGGAAGTTAATGAGATTGTATTGTACGTTTGCAGACAGCAGTGAAGATTAGGAAACCTACGGCCTCTAGTTGCAGCATTGAAAGCAGAATGAATTAATACACATAATAAAGGAGCAGAGACGTGATAAGATGAAGGTTGACATCACTCAGAACTCAGCATTATCTCTGTTCTCGTCTGCTTGTTCCTCGGCTACATGTAAGCAAATGTGATCTGATCGCCGAGACGTCCAAACTTGCATGTGTGATTCTGTTCAGTTTATAATCTGGAAGGGCTAAGTTTATACTTCATGGCTTCTCTTGTCTAATTATCCCAGTGATTATCAGTTCATGTCAACAGGGGAACAATCACCATCTCGCCCATGCATTCTTTTACAGTGACTCCATGTAATGAACAAGTTTTAAGTGCCTGTCTTGGGTTCATGATTACTCTTTTGCCTTTATAAGACATGAGCAACATTTTGCATTAGTTGAACAATAAAAATATATGTACATGATATAATACATTGTTTTTTTTGCATCTCTGGTAAAGGAATATGGAAATAATGGTTGCAGTATGACCAACATGTTTGTAGAGTTGTCTTCTATAGAAAAACAATACCCTGTGCCTAGGGATTGGGGAGGAGTAAGAAAGTGGACCTATCTTGGCCAAATCTAGAGACAAACTTTGCTAAAACTCTATAGGAGATATGTGGTATGGATGATTCTTACAATATAATTATATGACACCAATTCCAATAAGATCATGTGAATGTTTTCTCCAAGTTCATGAGTTCAACGCTGAACCAGTACCAAAGTACTAACAAAGATCTGAATTGTACCTCTTGTGAACCCCCATGTAATCCGGACATTTCCTCTGCAAATGTATTCTTTTATTACAGGTATTTATATAGCGCTGACAATTTACACAGTGGTTTACATAGTTGCATTCACATCAGTCCCTGCCCTCAAGGAGCTTACAATCTAAGGTCCCTATCTCACATCCTGACCAGGATTTGAATTGGGGACCATGGGCATTAATCGGGTTTTAGCTCTCAATACCTATATACAAATTAATATATCCACCTACTGAAGAAGTGAACACATTCTACATAAAGCATTGAAAAATAGTTCCACCCAAGCACATGTTGAGATTTTGATCATATGTACAAACAGAATTATTGTGACATATATGTTTGTAATCTGGGTGGGCTATATGAGGCTCTTTGTACTATACACACTACATGGCTATCATATCTAACAATTATATCAATCTTTTGAATTGCAACTCTAATAAATATTAACGTCTTAACAGCGTATATGGTCATATGACTATTCCGGTACCTTTAAAGTCCCAGTTATCTGCACCGTTTTGTAATATAATAACCTAGGATGTTGATACCGGCTTTAATTGAGCAATCCCAAGCATATGTAACCTAAAACAATACTTTAGAAAAAAGTAAAAAGATAAATTTTTTTAGATTTTCCTACTTAGGACACTGAAACAAATAACTGACCACGAGGAAGGTAAGGACTGCGAAGGTTTACACTAGGTACAGATACATTTCTTTTTTATTATGTATAGCAAGCTGCCTTTGAATGATCATTCTGGCAAGACAGATGGTATGTAGATAGAATGTATATTTTTATGCAGTCCTATACATTGCATTGTTTTAAGTCATCTTGAGAATTTAAAATTTGCATAGAGATGACAAGCAATGAAATAATATATAAATCTTGTAATAATATTGATAATGTTTTGTATCCTTCTCATGTGCATAGCATTGTATGCATGTCACAATAGCACATAATGAATAGGAACATCTGTGCTATTTTTATAACACTATGCATTCGTGGGAGGTCCAGATGATGTGTTTATTAGCTATTGGTATGCATAAAAGATAATGGGGTTGATTTACTAATAAAGCCAAATAGGCTGTTCGTTTTGCAAAGGGAATGTTCTTTTATCTTTATGAATGTGGTGAAAATTCACTTTGCCAAAAGTACCCAATCATGTGCAAGAAAAATAATAAAAAAAGTGTTTTTGCTTGCACATAATTGGATGATGAACATCAGCAGAGCTTTACCTCATTTACTAAGCTATGTGCAAATTTCCTTGCAAAGTGAACAGTCAATTGCATTTAGTAAATAATCCCCAATGACTTCACCTTATATACATAAGTATGTCTATACTCTAAACTACCAGCAGTCACTGAAGTGATGGAAGGAGGTAAACAGGGCAGACTAACGGAGGAAGGGTGGATGGGAGGCAGGCAAGGGGACAGGAGAATATAAGGACCATGACATTTGGTAAAAAGAAAAGCAAAAGTCAAACATCCCTGTTTACAGAATTCTTTGCACTCTCAGGTGCTGAAGGGCAGTTGGATCATGCCTACAAGGCTGACTACTTTTCCATAGGCATCTTAAAATGATCATATAAAGGTGAACTTCATAGGCATGCTTATAAAAAAAAAACACTAAAGAAAATCATGGGGGGGAGAGGAGATCTTTGCAAAGTAAATCACTTCCTGTCTCAGTTGTCTTTGGTACAGATTTCCCTTCTATGTATGGCTAGGTGACACATTTTTTCTCTTCTTCAGTCTCAGTGAAGATGAATACCAGGGCAAATAAAGATGGTGAAAGATGGTGACTCTTCCCAGTCAATGCACAGACAGCAAGAAAACCCTGACATGGGTTCCGACACATTCCTACTCTATCCAAAACTTTAAAAAAAGTTAGCTTTGGATAGACTTTCAAGTACAAGTGGCTTAAAGCCTATCTCCAGGGATAAAAAAAACAAAAAATTCCCGTGCAGTGAGACTACCCCCACATGGGTTTTACTTACCTGATTCCAGCAACCCTGGTCTGGCAGTTGGCGCTCACCCCATCTCTCCTATGCTTTGGCTTGTGGACTGTGCCTCTGTGTACCCAGACACAATAGAGGTCTTTGGGCCTAGCTTTGTACGTGATGACTTCAAGGGGCCTCCAACTGCAGGAGTATCAGGGGGAATATGCTGCTGGTGCTGGCTGGTCTAGGAGCCTGTGGGAGCGGGGGTCAGGTAAGTAAAAGTATTTTACGCAGCTCTCCTAGACATA